TTCCCTTTTTCAAATGATGTTTACCCCACTGCTCCAGCCAGAAGCCTAGGAATCAGCTTTAACTCCTGCTTCCTCAATCACCAAACCTTGTATATGTATCTCAAATCCACTTTTATCACTTCTCACAGCGCAAAGGTTAACGAACAAGATTCTTAAAGTTTCTAATGCCCTACATGATCTGGTAATACATGTAAAGCAGTTACAAAAGTGCCTGGCACATAGTACATACTCATTAAATGTTATCTAATATCTCAGGCTACTCTCTCTCTGTTATAGCCACATGACTTCTTTTAAGTCCTTCAATATATCATACCATTTCTCATCTTAGCACGTTAATAGATAGTATGCCACCCTCTCCCCACATCTCAGTCATCCTTCATCTCTGTTCTGTACATTTCCTCAACAAAATTAGAAATCTTTTAAAAAAACATTCTGTACTTATCCATAATATTCATTAAACTGTTAATTATGTAAGCAATACCTGTCTTTCTCTTTAGAATGTAAGTTCCATGAGGGCAGGCACTGGATTGGTTTTTTCCATTGCTGTAACCCATGTCTAGCAGAGTGCCTAGCAAAAAGTAAGAACTCAATAAATGCTGGCCAAGTAAATACATGTTATCTACTTCCCCATTCACAAAACTCTCTCCTCCCTTCAGTACTATTATACTTAACTTTTCTGGTTTTCCTCTCCTATCTCTGACTACTCTTTCTCTGGCTCATCTTCTTGTCCCTGCTGCTTTTGGTATTGCCTTGGCTATCCTCTTTAGTTTTGCTACCAATTTCTTCCTTGGTAATCTTATACATATCATGTTTACAACTACCATGTCTAGACAGCTGATTTCATATGTTTCACCCCCATTCCAGTTCTCTCTTTAAGTTCGAATTCCACATCTGCAATTTCTCAGTAGATATGTCTACCTGGTTGCCCTAATGGTCTTTTAAATTCAGTTATAACTAAAACTGAGATTATGAATATCTCCCCAAGTTCCTTGCCCTGCACTTTCTTTCAATAAATGACACAACTCTATTAGTCAGGTCTGAGGCCTAAATCTTTCCCTCACTGAATCCTTCCCTACCCCTTATATCCAAACAACCAGCAGGCCTTTCCTGTAGATTGACTCTGCAACATTTGTCATATTTGTCCTATTTTTCAATACCACTGCTATTATACAAATTCAGGTCTTCATTAACTTAGTTGACCTACAGCAAAAATCTAGTTATTCTCCTTGACTTCAACATTGTTGCCATATTAATTTTCATGAAACACAGTTTTTCTCTTTTTCATTTTTCTTTTATTTTCCTGCTGAAAAATTAAGGCTTCCCACTGCCTTTGAAATAAAGCCCAAATTTCTTGGCAAAGCATTTAAGAGATTCATTAATTGGCACAAAAACCATCATTCTTCATCCTCAGATCTTCCTTACAGTACAGCCATTAGCTGGCCTTGTCACTCTTATTTTTTCTCTGTCTGGGAAGCTTTTCACCCATTGTCATATTTCCAAATCCTATCAAGACCCAGTCAAATACTTCTCATGAGGATTCTATTGACAACTGCTGTGCTCTTCTACAATCCAAACCTTATTAATAATGTCTCCTTCCCAAGATATCTTGTAGTGCTTTTTCATGGAATTGGGTCTTTCTCCCTTGAAAGATACTCTTTTTTTGGCACAAGTGATATGTTCCCTATAAAAATTCTGAGTACTTTGGGTGGGGACGGGGTGTGTATATATATATATATATCTTTTTGCCTATCTCCTTGCTACTTTGAAAAGTACCACAAAAAATGACTATGGAAATACTGGATTGATGGATCAAAGTATAATGGTCTTGTCTCTCCATCTACACAGTTCTAACCATTTCCAACATCCCTTCAGCAAAAAACACAAGAGAAACTCAAGCACCCTACCCCCTTCCCAAACATCAAAAAAGCAAAAGCAAAGCAAAGCAAAAATCACCTCTTTCATGACTGTGGACTTGTACAATGTTCCTACTGCAGTACTCTTTTCCTAATCTTTCACTTGGCTTAAATTCATTAATCCCAGTAGACTCAAACTCCATGAAAGCAGGGACTTGTTTTGTTCACTGTTATTACCCAGCTGCTTGGGACTTAACAGCTGCTCACAAATTTTACTGAATGCATGAACTAGGTTTTTCCTTAAGTCACTTTCTAGGGCTTCTATGATCTCTCTAACCTAAATTGGGTATTCAAATATAAACATAAATATATGCTTTCCCCTAGATTCCGTTTTCCACCCTACCTGCCAATCTCAAAAGAAGTCCAAAGTTGATCATCTGCACGTGCATGAGATGAAGGCAATTAAATCTGCTCACGCAAAGTGCAATATTAGGGTTGCCATCTCATAACAGCTCTAGAAAACTTTGCCGTTCGTATCTTTGCAAGCTCTTGCAACCCCTTCCGAGAAACATTCTTAAGATGCAGCCCTTTTCATTCCTCCACCGAGTTCCTGACCCTGAAATACACTGATACCTTAGGGACACATCTGGAAACGCAGGACAGGCGAAAAGGTCTCTATTCCAAACCAATCAAGTGGTAGAGAAGCTGAAAAGCGACAGGAGACACTAGGAAAAGAAATGTCAATCCTTGGAACGAGGCAAGACAAACCGAAGGCCTACACGGGGGATGGTCCTTGACAAAGGAGTCAGAAGAAGATGAGAGACGGAATGAGAGAGCTGCACACGGAAGTCGCCAAAACCCTTGACAAAGGTCCGAGACAGGGTTCCAAGGACCTAGACTCTAGGACCGTGTCCTCAGTCCGCGTGCCCCAGTCCGCAACACCTTCTGAGGAAGCAGTCCTCACTGAAAGGAGAGAGCGGTCAGGCTGGGGCACGAAACCGCCCGCAAATTACGAGGCTTTCCCTCAAGAAGCGAGAAAGCTACGACCCCAAGGCGCTACTCTCCGACCTAGCCCCTCGCGGGGGTCTCGAACCTCCCACAGGCGGCTGGGAGCAGAGTCACTCGTCACAACTCACCGCTCCGCCCCGCCGCTCAGTCCGTTCCCGGTGGCCCCTTCCGAACTGGTCCCCACACTAGCTGGCTCCGAAAGCGAGAAAACAAAGGTTCCAGCAGCACTACCAAGGGGAAACTTTTGGCAGAGCGACAGTAGGAAGTGACGTAACCCCTCCCCTTCCGGTCCGCCGGATTATGAATGACGGCTGGCGCGGTTATTTCCAGACATTGCCAGTTTTTCCTTACGGCCCTGGAAGTCAGTGGTCCGCTGGAAGCCGCTCCCAGAAGCAACCGAGGAATCCTTGCTCCTGCTGGGCGTAAAGGCGCAGACGGCCCGTGTCGCCGACACTCTCACGCACCCTCCCTGCCTGGCCGCGCCCCTGCGACCAGGTAAAGAGGGCGCTCGGGCAGCCGGCTCCTCAGCCCGCGCGACCTGCTATTGACTACTCTGCATCGGGGGTCCACAGAGCTGATGATACGGGGAAAGGGTGGGAAGGGCGAGGTCGTGGAATCATTATTCTGTCTCTCTCCGGCCCTGGGGCCGCCTCAACCTCCTTTCTGGCCACAGCTCCTGAGGGCGTGGGTTGAGGGCTCCGAGCCCTTTCTCAGTTTTACGCATTTCCCAGTTTTCCCGGAGCCAATTCTTCATGTCTTAGTCCGCTGATGGAGGAATGGAGCATCTTCCAGTTGTAAGGGTTTGGGAGGTCGTTTGCTGTTAAGTGTAATTTCAAGACCTCTTGAATCACGCTTTAACTCTTTTTTAATCTTTGGCTCTTGGTTTTCCATTCCACCCCTTCCTGATTGGATAAAGTAGTTGTATGTGAATACTACTTAACAGTTACTCCAAAGGGCTTGCTTCATTTGGGGCTATTTCATTATGTTACATCATCTAAGTGTTTCTCTTTGGTTTTTAACTTCTTTGTAAAGTGTTCGAGTTTTAACTTCCGTGAAAATTGCATTGGCTTCAAAAACGTTTACTAATACACGCACTTGCCATCCCAACTCTATCTGGTTTGGGGATTAGGTGATTTGTTTTTCCCGTTATTAATGCCAAGATCCCATTCCGTGTCATAAATTCCTGAATGTCAAGAAACTGCTAGCCTTTAATAATATATTTCGTGCTAAATTATTGATAAAGAAGGTAGTGTACTTCTATTTTTTCTAAGCTTACGTATAGAAACAATGTTTACAAGAGAAAGTGCAAAAGCTAGCAAGAACTAATGATGTGACAATCTTAAACATGTAAACATGGTCATTTAAATACTGTGAAAATAAACTCTTTGTTGTAACACAAGAACTGAGTGATTTGCTGTCATATTTAATAAATCAACATTAAGCCATGTGGATTTTTGTTTTTGTTTAACTGCCTAGTGTGGAGCACACACTATTGAAAGCATTGCCTTAAGCGTACTCATTACTAGAAATCGTATTTGGGTTATACCTGAAGATATCATTTTAAGAGGTCTAATTTCAAAAATAAGACTAAAAAAGCCAGTGAGATTTGAGAATTGTTTTATCCATTCTTTTATTTATTATTTTACAGTTCTACTACTTTTGCATACTTTAAACAAAGAGCAAACTAGAATTTCTGTAGTAGTGGGCCCATCACGTTTTGTTGTTTTTGTTTTTTTAAACCTGTTTTACTTTGTAGCTTTTGTATCATCACCTGTGATTTGAAATAAGAATAAATATTGAGTATATACTTGGTCTTTCTAACAGCAACAAGTACCAGGCCTTGAAACTAACAAATTCTGGGGCTAGCCAGCTGACACATCTGTAGTATACATCGTTCCCTGGTGTATGTTGTTTTATCCTGAAATATTCAAGGTAGCCTACTGAATTCTGTTAAGATTAATACTTGGAATGCAGGGCTTTAAACCGTTCAGATAATAAATACAGGTATTATTTGCTGGGGGAATTCAGTAATTTCATTTCCGGCTTGCAAATACTTCTAACCTGTTAGCATTTCATGCAGTGGATTCCTGTTAATTATGAGGTCAGACTTAGCTCAAAGCATTATGACTCCATGGCAACAGAAGACTCCCTGACTCTCCAGAGAGATTACACACTTCCATTATGGCTAAGGTTACAGTAAGCTGTTTTACTTCAAAACGCATTTTCTCCTACTTCTTGCCTAGATAAGAAAACAGCTGATTTTAATCATAGGCTTTTCTTCTCTACGACTTAAGTATATCCCACATTACATAATGTAATGAGCTCTGAAAAAGCTATTTTTTCTTTCCTTTTTTGACCTTTAATATTTAAGGTAATTAGCTGCTATCTACCTCTGTAGGGGATAGCTTTTTTTCTTCCTTTTTTAAAAAAAGTCTGTATTATTATAATAAAATAGAGTGGGATTTACAACCAAATAGTGTTGTTTTATGAAAGTGTGAAAACAAGCTAAGTTCTAATAACCAAAATGTTGAACATTTGTTGTAGGGGGTATATAAATAGGTTTAAATTTAAATTTTTAAGAACAATAACTTTATAATATTTTTATACTTGTAAATTGTGCCAAACTACTTATTGTGTGCAATATAATCGGTTAATATGCACGTGGACTAATGGTTTCACATTTATATTCTGCCATTTCATGGTTCCCTGGCTTTCAGCCTCAGTAACAAATGGGTTTTCTTCAATATTGGGGGGAGGGGGGAACTTTAATTCAACATGAATTTCTTACCTGTTATGAAGAAATTTGGAAATATAAAGCATAATTTGGGTTTTGACCATCAAAATTTGTTTTAGTAGCATCAATGGGTAGGGAATTCAGGGATAAGTTCCACATGAATAATAGTAGCTAGTATTTATTTAGAGATTTACTATGTGATAGGCATTGTTCTCACAGCAAACTATATGGTAGGATGGTAGGTGATGTTATTTTTGTATTCATTTTACAAAGGAAACCAAGCTACAGAAAAGTTTTTTTAATAGCTGCTAAGAATCAGAATTTGAACTCAGGTAGTCTGGCTCAAGAGTCTGGACTCTTATTCATTACTTTATAATTCTCGTTGCTAGTTAAGACTTCTAGTTCTCTTGCCTGAATATCAACATACATAAAAACGTCTATGCTTTATTTACAAGTTTGGATGGATTCCAATTATACTTTTCCTGATTCAGCCCACAAAGGTGATCTTTCTTCATTTTAATTTACACTTAGTTGGCCCTTAAAATAGACTTACTAATTTTGGAAGGTAAAGAATGGTGTCATGAACAGTAAGGCTTATGTTGTACTGAGACTAACATTCTCAATAGTACTTATTATAGTGATTACTGACATTTATGTATATTCATTTATTTATTCCTTGAACTGAAATTTGAGTATTATGAAGTCTTGGAGATTAAAATATCAGGTGATAAGTTCTACGAAGAAAAAGAGCTGGGTAAGAGTCTAGGGAGTGATGGGAGTGCTTTTTCAATTTAGGTAGTTATGAGGCTGCTCTGAGCTAATATTTATGCACAGAAATCCGTGAAATGAGGGAGCAAGCCATGTGAATGTCTTGGAGAAGAGCATTCTAGGCAAAAGGAACAGCAAGTACAAAAATTCTCAAGGGGGATCATTGCTGGCATGTAAGAACAGCAAAGAGAACTATGGCTGGAGGGGAGTGAGGAAAGTTAGGAGATAGTGTCACATTAGGCCATATATGCCATATATAGGATGTTTGGATTTTAAGTGTGCTGGGGAGTCACTGGATGGTTTTAAGCAGGGGACATGATCTGATTTATGTTTTTTAAAGAACACCCTGGATTGTTGTTGGAGAATGGACTGTTGTGTAGAGAGAGGAACTTCAGAGTTTTTGGCCTGAGCGTTTGGGTGAAGGGTGTTGCCATTTTACCAAGAAGGGGACCACTAAGGGAATGGGAGCAGGTTTAGAAAAACATCCATGTGAAGATGACAGTCCTATGAGGGCACTTCAAGAATTTCATGGAAAAGTAGAATTAAAAGATAATACGCAGGCTCTGATTTTACACATTTTCTTGCAAAGAAAAATCTCAGTGGCAGAATGCAAAATGTAAAAGATGTTACTAAAATAGATATAACTACTAAAATTATATTTCAAATCTGAGTTCATTGAAAAGCAGAAAGAAATAAAATCAAAGAATATTTTTTCTTTGTACACCAATTAAAATTTTCTTTACAAAAAAAAAATATATATAAATCTTTTCATGAACTTTTGAAGTACCTCACAGGATTTTGGAGTTAAGGGGAAAGGATATGGCTGAGTTATAAATATAGGAGTCAGATGACATTTAAAGCTGTAGCACTAGAAATCACCTAGAACAGTGCAGTCATATTGTGAGTTATGCCCCGTTCGTTAATGGGTCATGAAATCAATTTAAGGAGTAACAACTAGCATTAAAAAATTTACAAAAGGGGTAAAAAATATCAGATTTATTCCATGTAGTAGGATAAGTATTATTGCTTCATGATATTTTTGTTTCAGTTTTATTCAGTATATGGTGAGTTGCAGTGTAAATTTTATATTATGTGGCATCATCAAAATAAAAGTTTGAAAGCCAGTAATCAAAGGAATGAGTGTAGATTGAGAAGAGGGCAAAAGACTGAGTCATGAGTCACTGAGAGGTCTGAGGAGTATGCACTAAAAGGAATCAGGAAGGAACTGCCAAGAATTTAATCCATTGCTGAAAATTGTCAAATAACACAGCCTTCAGAATGGACATTTTCTTTTTTTAAAAAAGATGATTAGTAAGGGGATCTTAACCCCTGACTTGGTGTTATCAGCACCATAGGATCCGAACCCACGGCCTTGGTGTTATCAGCACCACACTCTCCCAAGTGAGCCACAGGCTGGCCCCAGAATGGAGGTTTTTATCACTGATTACTGAGATGAGGACAATTGCTTAGAATAACATAATTTCTGATGATTCTTACTTTGGTGAAATTGAGGCTGCAATAAAATTACAATCTGCTTCAATTTATGAAATTCTAAGTTTATAAAATAGTACTATTTATATTAGGAAAAAACCACCTATTCCTGAGTGTTTTCAAATAAGACCCCTTTATAAATTCAGTTAATACTTTTGGACTGATGTACAATTCTCATTTAGAATTATAAGTAATGTACAAGTTCTGTGTGTTCAGTATATAGTAAGTAGACAATAAAATGTCTAGAATATTACAATAAAATGTCTAGAATGAAGATATTTAGAATTCTTCATTCATTTACCTAATATTTATTGAGCTATCAAATTCCAGGCACAGAGAGAATTTCTTATTTAGAAAAACAAACTCAAGTCACTGGTTAATATTTTGCTGCAGTTATGTACTTTTTGATCTTCATTATGTCACACATAATTTATCCATTATCTATTCACTCTGTTCAGCTGAAGTCTGTGGTTTTTGTCTGCTGCTTTGTCACTCCCTCTCAGAAATAGTTGCAGTTTGGCACCATCAAAGCCGAGAAAGAGCAAACAGCACTACTTCTGTGCTTGGCAGGAATGTAATATGGATGGAGTAACAAGAGCTGTGCCCCAGAAGCCCTGGAGACCCAGAAGTTGATTCTATAGTACCTCCTTTCTTAAAGCTCATGAAATAAAATTAATAAACTAGTCATTCTCAAGGCAGAAAGGGAGAAGAAAAAAAAGATGGCTTCTTTTGCCTATGGTATTTGCAAACTTTGAGCAAAAATTGTGTTCTCTCTTGAAAAATTAAAGACAGTGCAAACCAAAAACATATCAAATTTGTACGAGTTTATTATTTTAAAAATTACATTAATATGTAATGGAGAAAAATTGCCTAGGGAGAATAATGGTTTTTTTTTTAACTCCAAGATCATTAAGTATCATTTTTAATCTCCCAGGAAAAAACACCAACATCTATATCAAAAAAATTATGTTAGGAATAAGTAGTACTTTGCATTTTCTCTCAGGCATCTCATTAATTTTTAGATATCACCATGAGCAGGTTATGCTTCTGTTTTATTGACATTTAACATTTGTTAAGTGTTCACAGTGAGAAGAGTTAGTAGAATATACGTAAAAGCCTATTTTCAAGGTTCTTATGTGCCTTGGAAAGTGACAAATATACATTTATTCCAGTTTTTATATTTGTATATATCTTAAAAGCTTAAAAGCATGGCATTGTTTTCAGTTAAAAAAAAAAGTTAGGACAAATCTCATAATTACCATTTCCGTTGCCGGTCCCGGTCTGGTACGGGGGCGACACTGAGGGTTGCGATCCATTGCCGGACACGGAAAAAGACAAAAAGGAAAAAATAAATAAATAAATAAATAAAAAGAAATTTTGGGCCGGCCCGGTGGCGCACTGGAGAGTGCGCCACTTGGGAGTGTGGCGGCGCTCCCGCCGAGGGTTCGAATCCCATGTGGAGACCAGTTCCCGCTCACTGGCTGAGCGCAGTGCGGGCGCAACACCGAGGGTTGCGATCCCGTTGCCGGTCAGTTAAAAAAAAGACAAAAAGGAAAAAAAAAAGAAATTTTGAATATTAAAAGAAATTTAGTAGTTGACAGTTTCCTAAAATTAAGCGTACACTAACATTTCAAATATACTTTGAAAGAGTTGCATGTGTACTTTTAAAAGGCTTTTAAAGTAATATTTCTTCTAATATGTCATCTTCCGATTACATACTTCCATGGTAAATGCTTTTAAAGAGTGCCATCTAGTGTCAGTTTTGGAATTGTGATTTATGGATTAGAAAATTGGAAATTTTGGATCCAGGAAGTATGAATCAAATGTAAAAAGTCGTGATAATTGACAAAAGCCATAAGGAATATGATTTGAAAACACCCATCAGTAGTTTGACCTCAAGATTCTTTGTGTTCGAGTCTTAAAAATAACTAGTTGTGTGTATTCATCCGTGCATTCATTCAACAAATACTTCTTGATTATATATAAATATATATAGCAGGCCCTGTTTTTATGTGTTGCAGTGAAAAAAATAAAATTCCTACTCTCATAGAACAGTCTAGTTGGGGGAGACAAATATATAGTATGTTACAATAGTGAAAAATGCTATGTAGAAAAAGTATGGGAGGAAATAGAAAGGTTTTTTTTTCAGAGAGGATGGGGGTTGAGGTTTGCAATTTACAGTAGCCAGAGAAGGTCTCACCAAGAAGTTACCACTGAGTACATACCTGAAGGAAGTGGGGGAGTGTTCTAGGTCCTGGAAACACTGAGTGCAAATGCTCTGAGGTAGGAATGTATCTAGTGTTTTAGAGGAATAACAACCCATCTTTGCTGGAGCAGTGAGTGATGAATAGAGTTGATGAGATGAACTCAGAGACATAAAAGGAAGATTAGATCAAGATCTTTGTAGGCCATTGTAGAAACTTTGGCTTTTCTCTGAGTAGTGTGGAAAGACACTGGAGGGTTTGAGCTGAATAATGATGTGATTTTCATTTTTTTACAGGATCATTTTGGCTGTTGTGTTGAGAATAGACTAGGGGGAGGTAAGATGGGAAGCCGGGTTAGGAAACAATTGCTATAATTCAGAAGAGAGCTAATGATGGCTTTGATCACAGTGAAAGCAATGGAAATGGAGTGAAATGGTCAGATTCTGGGTATTTGTTGAAGATAGAGCCAAAATAAGTTTTTGATGGATTGATTATGGGGGGTGCGAAAGAAGAGTAAGAATACTCCCCAGGTTTTTGGCTTGAGTAACTAGAAGGGCAGTGTTCCATTGACTGAGATGGGGAAGACACATGAGGAGTGGGTTTGGGAGTTGGGAATAAGGAACCATATTTTGGACATGTTAACTTTGAAATATCTCGATGTCAACATCTAAGTTATGGGGAAATTAAAATATTATTCTATTCTGATTCAGCATTCAACAGCTCATCACTTACTTGGGAGAATCCAATTATCATGAAGAAATGAATATACTCTTTCTGGTTATTATATTGTAGTCATAAAACAGCAGTGTGTGAGGACCAGCACTGTCAAAACTTTTCAAGATCATTATCCCCAGACAACTCTTAGTATTCTTGGTTGATTTCTTATTTCCTATTATATTTATCTCCTGTTCTCACCTGTAATGAAACCCTGAAGTACTTGATTGAGAGGGTTCTATTGCACAAGGTGGAAGTTTTTTTTGAAAGCCATTTATTCAGTCTTCAGGAACAGATTCTTGTAGCATTGTTATGTATTGCAAAGTCTTACTGATTTCTGGAACAGGCTTTTAAAACATTCATCTTTTCTTTTAACTTCTAAATTATTATGTTTTAAGTGCTATAATTACTTCAATTTATGCTTTAGGTGACCCAATGAATGAAGAAAATGAAAGGCATTAAGAAAAGTCTTACAGAAGAATATTTATACCTGGACTTTTCTCACCATACAGAAGGATGCATCTTTCCTCTCCATACATCAGTAACTTTATTTTTGTTATCATACTGTGACTACAAAATCTTTAAAGTTTGCTTGGTCCCCACCAAAGAAAGTATAGATAGTTCACTACTAAAAGATGTACTCTCCCAGGATATTGAAATACAGATTATTTCAAGGCAAGAACTTCCACCAATAGTCCAGAATTGCTGTTTACCTGTGGTAGTAGAACAACCGGACAATTTTTGTAGAGCAGGACTTGCTGTTGTATTAAGACACATAATCCAGAAATCATATGAAGCAGACCCCTCAAAGAAGGAAATTGTGGAACTTCTGGGTTTTAAAAAAACTTGCTTGAAAGCCTGTGCTGAAGTAAGTATAATGTCTCTTCTGTTATTTTTAGCTACAAATTGATAACATATTCACTCCAATAATTATTTTAACTTTCTGTTGTAAATAAAATTTCATTTATTTAAAAAACCCATAGTAACCAAGAAAATAGTTAAAGTAGCTCTTCATGTATTCCAATATCTCAGTGTAGTATTGAAAAATAAGAATTTAAAATTTAATTTATGAAGTTTGGAAACAGTATGTTTAGAAAAATAACTCCTTTTTTATCCTTGATTTTAGTTACATTGAGGATTTTTAAAGGGAACATTTACATATGAACAGGAGCTCAAGTAGCAATGCTTTGGAAGCCCTGCTTTTGGGAGGGGGGATTTTAAAGGCTTTGGGAAGCAATGATTTATTCAGTGAGAAGATACAGGACTGCTAAACCTCTATTGCTTAATGTTTTCACTTCTGAAGTGCTGTAATATGTCTCTTGATATAGCATAAAAGCCTAGCCCAGGGATGGCTTAGCGCAAGACTTAAGTTCTCTAAACCAGTCTTATTTCCCAATAAGACAGTTATTTTTCTTTGATATATGTTGAAAGTAAAGAATCCTCTCATTTCTTGTTTTGGTTTGTTTTGTAGGTTAGTCAGTGGACCAGGCTATGTGAACTCACCATCCCTTTGGCTGTTGAGAATTTCCTCAGAGTGTCTTCTGACCAGCCCCCTACTATTCCTGTAGAAATACTACAGCTAGAGAAAAAGCTTAGTGAGCCTGTTAGAGTGCATAATGATGATAAACTCCGTAGGCAGAAGCTGAAGCAACAGAAGGCTGCTGGAGTTGGGCCTCCGCTTGCTAAGGGAAAAGCAACGAGCAAAGTTCCTATACAGGAAACATCTGAAGTGTTGGATTCTTCATCTAAGAGTCTGGAACTACAAGTGGCATTCTCAAAGCTCACAGTACAGGAAGAACCAGCTACTACCAACAGGGAGCCTTCTCACATCAGAAAAGCAAAGGCCTCTGACCTTCCACCTCTGGAGCATGTGTTTGCAGAAGGGCTTTACTTCACTTTGGCAGATATTGTACTCTTGCCCTGTATCCATCTTTTTTTGGTAAGGTTTTATCTGGAGTATATACATTACTATGAGTTTCAGTCTATGAAATAGCTTAGGTTTGAATTCCAGTTCCACTTCTTAATATCATTGTGCTCCTGGGCAAGTTATTAATATCTATCTCCATTTTCTTACCTGTAAAATGAAGATAATAATAGTACTTCTCTAATAGGATCAATGTGAAGAACAAATGAAAATTTCTAAGTGTGGAGAATAGTGATTGGCACGTAATAAGCTCTGAATAAATGTTAGTATTATAACATTTCATTTTTAGTTTCTAAAATGTTAGCAATTGTGATGATTAATTTCAAATTGCTATTGTGATTATCTTCTAGTATCAGAGGGTCCAGTATTAAAAAAAAAACACTAAAAACTAAAAAAATCTTGTCAGCCACACACACACACACACACACACACACACACACACACACACACACGAGGGTACTTCAAAAAATTCATGGAAAGATTTATATTGTCTTTTAATTCTATTTTTCCACGAACTTTTTGTAGTACCTTCGTGTGTGTGTGTGTGTGTGTGTGTGTGTGTGTGTGTGTGTCTATGCATGTATGTTCTCCCTCCAATGGAGGAAAATTGAACAGGGTGAAAATAATAACCAGAGTGAACATGGAAAGCTATATCTCTCTGCCTTGCAGTTTTGAAGAGCTGCATTTTTCTTGCTTTGAAACATTTCACCTTTCCCCTGCCAGAGAGTCAGATATCCGATTTCATTCTCATTATGTGTTGTCAACACTTAGGTATTTCTACTGACAGATGAGAAAAGACTTCAAATGAAAATCTATATGTTTGGAGGCCAGTGCTTCACTAATAAATTAGGAAGTATTGATCAATTGTTATTTTCCCAAAGAATATTTTTCTTCAAAATTGAAACAAAAGATTGGCAACCAAAATAATTTCAAAATTAAACAATGTGAAAAAAGAGAGATATTCTGGAATTGTTTAGAATTTGATTGACATTTTAAATGTCTAATGTCATATGTGTTCATAGTTTCCACGGAGCTGAGTGGGGAGACATTGATTTTTTTTTTCCCTAGTCAAATGATTTCTAGGTTTTCTTATCTCTTATTCCTCCCTTCTATTATAAATTCAGTCATTACAGCAGTCATTAGATACATTATACTCAGTCTTCCTGGTTTCTCTGGATAACTGTATTTCTTTCTACTTTTGTAAGAATTGAATCTAAGTGGCACATCCACTCATCCATTTGAGAAATTTATTGAAAGCCTACTGTATATAGAGGCATTAGCAACACAGGATGAAGAAGACACATAAGATTCCAGCCCTCATGGAGTTGATATTCTAGTAGAGGAAGATAGAAATAAACAAGTAAACAAAAAAATATTTATATAAAATAATAGTAAGTGCTACAAAGAAAACAAGGCGACAGAAAAGACCCGAATATTTGATTTCAAACTCAACAAAACAGACACAAAATTGGATTCACTTGCATGAAGTTGCATTTAGATTGTTATCCAGGTAGCCATCTTTTCAGCTGACTTGCATTTGATTTTACCTGAATTTAAATACTGTTTATCTGATTAGGATTAATTGAGGCCAAAGTATTCCTGATTAAGAGTATTTTTTCCCCCTCAGACCCGGTACTTGACTACTACTGAGTAAATCCACCTGATACTTCTGAGGAATTTTGTTTTCATCTCAGTTTAAAATAGGGGGAAACTTGTATACTTAGCCTTTTCTGTGACATGTATTTTATGATAAAATTTTTCTTTTTTGACATTTAGTATGTAAACAAATTCTCAAAATATTTTCCTTTGTTCTATTGTATTTTTCCTGGATCTCCACATTTTCTTTCAGGAATTCATCTTTTTTTGCCAAAGCCTTGATGTTGTTTCTGTTATATTTTCCTCCTTTAAGTCATCTTGGGTAATGAGGCAGTCGTTTTAGTTCATGTAGTGGCTATGTGGCCAAGCCTTTGTCCTTGCATTAGCACATAGGTGAATGGAGTGGCAGTCCAAATGATCAGAATCAGAGTCAAGTTCATGATCAGTTATCAAGGGCCAGGTACTAAGTTGGATCAGAGGCATAGAACTGAACCTAGGGAAAGGATATTTAGCCACAGGAATTAGGTCAAGGATATAAAAGAGTAGAGTCAATTTTGTTAAGATTTGAATTACCAGAGGTCAAAATTAGGACAACTAGGGAAAAAACACAGTTGTGCTAAAGTCAAAGATACAAAGCTTATAAAAGAGTAGAGTCAATTTTGTTAAGATTTGAATTACCAGAGGTCAAAATTAGGACAACCAGGGAAAAAACACAGTTGTGCTAAAGTCAAAGATACAAAGCCATAGTAAGTAGAGTGGCTGAGGTCTTTAAAAACCTGATCCAAGCTTCTCTTCATTTTCAGCACATATTAATTTGCAAAGTTAACCCCCGCTGCCCAGCACTTTTTCATGGTATGGGCCTGAAAATACCCTCTCCTCTGGAAAGTCTTAGGAAGAGATTAAAAAGGAATAAATTAAAATGCACACTTCTTATGTTTTTCCTGCTTGTATATTTGCTAGAATCTTCTAGCAGATAGTATATCAAGCATATGGGAGAAGTATCAATGAATAGCTATACAAGGCAAAATCCTGCTTCTGTGATACCAGAAAATTGTATAGTTATTTTTCAGTTGCTGCTAGTAAACAGGTACATTTTGATAAAACAATAATTATTCTACTTCTGTAAGACAGGGAAGTTGCCTTTTATGAATTTTTTTTGTAATTTGAACACATGATTTCATCTTCTATAGTTTAATTTCTAATGCTTTGAGTTTTTTATTTTTATTTGAGTTGGTTTTGTTTTAAAAAATGTATATTAGCTAAAGTCTAATTATTCCTCTTTTAGAAATTGATTTTTGAGCAAAAATACCTATATTAAATATCTCTTTCAGTGTCCCCTTTGACATAAAATTGGGAACAAAATGGGTATCTCACCATTTGCTGGCATATTGCAAAAGTGATGGATGCCACTAATAGTAGTGAATTTGTAATTTCCATATCCTATGCATTTGGTCCTTAAGACTTTGAAGTTTTAACCAACTAGTTCTAATCTGTAAGTAAAAAATAGACAACTGAGATTATATTTTTGTTTAGGTAGTTGTTTACTGTTTTTTTTCCTGTTTATACTGCTCACCTAAACATTTGTGAATTGTGACGTTTTCAAAAGAGTAGGAGTGACTAAGGAAATGATTTAAAATAAGTACGAAGTATTTTTTATAATTAGTGATTGGAAAGGAATGCAGAGGAGGAGATATTTTGGATAGATGTAACATCTCGCTTCTCTTTTTATTCAGACAAATTATTCTGCTCCTTGTTACAATTAACTACAAAGCCATTATGGTTTCATTTTGTGCTCTTGGTAGCAATAATTTTTTTCCATTGTTTTAAGAATAAATTCTCTTTTATTTTCTTGTCCTCAAAGAACTCTATGATATTTATAATGGTTTTGATCTTACGAGGCAGGTAACTTTTTTTGGTAATCATTTCTTAGGAACATATTTAATTCTCATTTCATACAGTTTTCATTTAGCTACTTCCTTATATGCCAACAAGTTCATGGAAAGATTTGTATTATCTTTTAATTCTATTTTTCCACAAACTTTTGAAGCACCCTTGTACATTTTCTTAAGTGTAATGAAAGTGGTTCAGTACCTCCCGAACTGTCTGGATATTAGTAGAGTGTCCTGGCATATTGTTTAAATGGAGTGAGCTGTCATGCAGAGTAAAACTCCTACATTTTTTTTTTAAACATGAATTATTGTTATTTAATCACAACTTAACTTCAAAAGGAAGCAAAGATGCTATGTTCATCTAACAAATAAGAATAGATCACTAATAAGGAGAGTAAGGGAAAGGTGAGGAAAGAGAACATTTTTGATTTAATTAATTTATCATGCCTTAAGCTCAATTCCCTTAGCACCATATCTATTTCTAGGCAATTAAGAATTTTGGAGAGAATTATAAACTATTTGGCTCCCAGAGTGCCATGTAGACAATGTTTTTCAAACTTTTTTGACTTTCACTCACAGTAAATAATACATTTTACAAGGTGATTGCATATATAAATAAATGTATATCTTTATATTGTATATATGCATTTATGAATACAGCATAACTTATTACATGAGGTATACTCTGATATTTTCTATCTCATTTTTTTAAAAAACCTACTATGTTGATTTTACCACCTCCTAATGGAGTCATAAAAAGCAGTTTGAAAAACACTAATTTAGGGGATTATACTTTGAAAATAATAAATGAATCCTTGATCATTTGTTCATTCACTCAACTGAGTATTATTTCCAAGGCAGTGTTTTAAGTGCTTGCACTGTTCAATAGAGTTAGACATAGCCCCCCTTTAAATCAATTACTTGTGCTCATTTAACCTTAATGTTTAGTTAAAATACAGTAAAATTAATATGTGTTGCTATAGATTGGATGCCCCTCCCAACCTCACTGAGGCTTAATCCCCACTGTAAGTGATGACAGTGGGAATCTTATTATGGTAATTGAAACGTGGGGCCTTGAAGAGGTGATTAGATTGTAGGACCGTGCTGTAGTGAATGGATTAATAATGGTGGTCAGGGGCGTGGTTTTGAGGGCTTTAAAAGAAGAGCACATGAGAGGTTAGTATCTCTCTAATCTGCTGTTTCTGCCATGCGAAACTCCTGGGTCACTGTTGCCACCACCAAGGCCTTCACCAAAAATGTGTTCCCTGGACTTTGGATTTCCCAGCCTCCAAAACTGTAAGCAATAAATTTTGTTTTCTTATAATCGCCCACTTCCAGTATTTTGTTATAAGCAACAAAATGGAGTTTAAATATTTTATTAATGTTCTATCCTTTCTGGCTAATGCTTTGGTACTGATTGCTAGATATATTTGTAGAGATTTTCTATGACTTGGCCTTTTTACCTGTCTATCTTTTCATAATCATAAGTCGTAATCTGTTTGTGACATTATAATAGTTTCTATGGAAACAATATTCAGAGCCTCTCAAAGAAGCAAGAACACTCTAATTTTTAGAGAAATTGATGGTTGGTGGCAGTGCTGGGGAGAAAGCATCTGACCAAGAGAGAACGGAAAGAAATTTACATCAGGAGTAATGGTTTAAACTTTCCTAATTTGAATAAACAAAAGCCTTACTTTAAATGCTACTTTATAAAAAATGTCTTTTGAATAGTGCTAGTTATGTTTTTCAGTTCTAAATATTTATAATTTTATCTTTTATCTGTTTACTATTTGCTTTTAGTGAAATGTTCTCCTTACTTCACCAAGTGTCATTTTTTAAAAATATGATTCTGAAAGGCGCTTCTTATACTACTTTTAAGTAATATTGTTTTAATTCTATATAATAGTTCAGGCATTCAGAGAAAATGGCTTCACACAACAAAATGGAACTTTAGATCACTATTGAAATAAGAGTACAGGGCTGGCTGATTAGCTCAGTTGGTTAGAATGCAGTCAAGAGTTTGGTTCCCTATACTGGTTAGCTGTCAAAAAAAACCCCAACATAGGGCGGCCCGGTGGCGCACTGGATAGTGCGCCGCTTGGGAAGCGCGGCGGCGCTCCCGCCCGAGGGTTCGGATCCCACATGCAGACCAGTTCCCGCTCGCTGGCTGAGCGAGGCGCGGGGGTGGCGCTGAGGGTTGCGGTCCCGTTGCTGGTCCCCGGTCCGGTACGGGGGCAACACTGAGGGTTGCGATCCGTTGCCGGACACGGAAAAAGACAAAAAAAGACAAAAAAAAAAAAAAAAAACCCCAACATAAATTGAGTCCAAAACTTTCCATTTCCACACCCCTCCAGTGAGCTTCAAAATTTCTATTGAAACTCATCAAAATACATCAATGATTATTCTATGTAGACATCAAATCATGATAATTTAAAAATGTTGGGGCTGGCTGATTAGCTCAGTTGGTTAGAGCATGGTGCTGATAACACCAGGGTTCAATCCCTGTACTGGCCAGCTGCCCCCCACCAAAAAAGTTACGTAACTTGCTTTGAGGAAATCAATAGTTCAACTTATTTTAATTCTTTCTCCATTAACCACTTAAGCTAATTTTTATAGATAAGCATAGGAGAGTACTTCAAAAGGTTCTAGGGAATATTTATGTTATCTTTTAATTCTGTTTTCCATGCTCCTTTTGAAGTACCCTCATATATTATTCTAGGTTTTTGATATAGTGCTGTCCATTTAACTCTATATTCAGTGCGTTGAGAATTTACCGAATATAGTGAGGGTAAGGTACACCAGAATGTCTTCTTGGTCATAAATGATAGATGAAGGGGTTTCCAGATTTGAAGGAAGTTGATTATAGAGGAATTCTTGGAGTGGGTTAAAAATAGACTACCAATAAAAGATGATACACAATTGAATACAAGATGTAAAGTTTTCCAAAATGATTTTCATTATAGCATTTATAGACATTTACAAATGTTGTCATTGTTATTTACATTGATTTTTCTTGGAATTATTTGTTATATTCTTTCTTCTTTTTCTACTGCTGGTTCTTTCCATTGTATGGATGTACCACAGTTTATCCATTGACTTGTTGAAGGGCGCTTTTGTTATTTCCAAGTTTTGACCATTAGAAATAAAGTTGCTGTAAACATCTGTGTTCAGGTTTTGGTGTGGACATAAATTGTCAACTCATTTGGAGCACAGTTGCTGGATCATATGGTAAGAGTATGTTTATTTTTGTAAGAAACTGCCAAACTGTTTTTCAAAGTGACTATACTATTTTGTATTCCCACCAGCAATGAATGAGAGTTCCTATTGCTCTACATCCTCACCATCATTTGGTGTTATCAATGTTTTGAATTTTTGCTGTTCTAATAGGTGTGTAGTTGTATCTCCTTGTTTTAATTTGTAGTTCTCTAATGACATATGATGAGCATTTTTTCATATTCTTAGTTGCCATCTCTATATCTTTTTTGGTAAGGTGTTTGTTCAGATCTTTTGCCCATTTTTAATTGGTTTGGTTTTCTTATTGTTGAGTTGCTCCAATTTTTATATTGTGAAATGAGTGATGCAAACATATAAAGCATGTCACCAAAGAAGATATACAAATGGAAAATAAGCACATGAAAAGATGTTCAACATTATTAGTCATAGGAAAATGCTAATGAAAATCACAATGATATACTACTACCCATCCACAAGAATGGTTCAAATAAAAAAAACTGATGATACCAAGTATTGGCAAGATGTGGAGAAATTGGAAGCTCCTTGAATTGCTAGTGGGATTATAAAATATTACAGCCACCATAGAGAACAGTTTGGTAGTTTCTTTAGAAGTTAAACATATAGTTACCATATAACCTAGCAAGTTTACTCCTAGGTATCTATTCCTAAGAAATGAAATACATTTCCACACAAACACTGGGACATGAATATGTATTGCAACATTATTCATAATAGCCCAAAACTGGAAACATGCAAACGTGCATCAACTGGTGAATGGATAAGCAAATTATAGTATATCCATATGATAACTACTACTCGTAATGAAGAAAAACTAACACAAACTCAACTACATGGTTGAACCTCAAAAACATATTGCAAAGTGAGAAAAACAGACATATTTTATGATTCCACTTATGTGAAATTCTAGAAAAGGCAAAATTATAAACACAGAAAGCAGATCACTGGTTGCAAATAACTGGGAGAAGAGATTGACTGCAAATGGTCACAATGGAACTGTTTGAGGTGACATGTTTTAGAATTGGATTATGGTGGTAGTTGCACAACTGCATAAATTTGCTAAAACTCATTGTTTGAACTGTGCAATTAAAATGTGTAAATTTTATGGTGTGTAAAGCTACCTCAATACAGCTGCTGTAAACAGACAAAAATATATAATAATGTATTTTTATCGTTTTCCTGCCTAGGTAATTATCTGCAAGAAATTTTCTGAGAAGCTGGTAGAATTTCCACTGCTAGCCTCTTGGTACCAGAGGATTCAGGAAGTGCCAAGAGTAAAAACAACAGCTGCTAGGTGTGGGATCCAATTTCTCCATTTACCAGAATTGTTGACTACCTCAAATGAACAACATCCAAACTTAAGTGAAGTCCCCAGTGTAGAGGAGCAAAATGATCCTTTATTTTTAGGGGGACCAAGACCAACAATGACCAAGTTAATGGTACTTAAATTGTTTTATTAAAATTTTCTTTGAAAATTCCATGTGATAATGTTGCTGAGCATTCTACCCCAACTTGGAATCATTTGTTGACATTATTTTTGTTATAAATTTTATTTGTAACTATCTTATGTCACTCTTTACCAATTAACATTTCTGCTAGTCTTTTACATTTAAGTGAAAAATAGTAAATTGAAGATTTTTGACATTATGTATCATTGGAGCCAAGTGAGTCACAGTATATACTTTAAAAAAGTATTTTTCTTAAAACTTTTTTTATGTTCAGAACAATGACTAAGATAGTATCATACCTGGTCAAATGTATTGTTCTAAGTTGATGTTTTTCTGTTGCAAGGTTTTGGGCTCATTCTTTTTTATTTTGAGATAATGATCTGAAGTTAAAGAAATGTAAAGATGAATATCTCAACTTTCCAAGGTTTTATCTAAATTTATGATTTCAGAATTCTGTGACTTTTATTTTTACTTTGTTCTTTGATTTTGATGTGTTTGTTATATAATAAGAATGCATATGATTTATTTTTCTCTTTGGAGCATAAATTGTTTCTAATAGTACAAATTATAAAGTTTTCATCAATAGGCTTTCTTCTCTCTACTATTTGAAGCAATTTGCAAAATGTTTTGCTGTTAGTAGACAATTTCAAGATTTATTTGAATAGAGAATTCATGAAGGTATTTGAGTTATTCATCTAAGTTGCACTGAAAAAATATTCATTATATTTCCCTGTTTGGGTTAGGAAGTGTTTGAGTTCTATAGTTGAAAGAAAATTTTCTGATTTATAAATGTACAGGAAGACTTTAGTAGTGACACCAACCCCTTACTTCTTCAGCTAAGCTCTGTAGCCTATTGATAAAACAATGAAACTTGATTGTAGAGTTGATCGTAGAAGTTATCAAGGCATGTACAGATTTTTTGTGGTTATACTGTCTAGGGATCTGTGGTTCACCTCCTGAGTGGGTATGGGGATGATGAAAATGTTCTAAAATTAGATAGTGGTGATGGACCCAAAACTGAATTTTCAAAGAACCACTGAACCATATGCTTTAAAAGGGTAAATTTTGCGGTATATAAATTATATGCCCATATAGTTGTATTTTTAAAAAGACCCTAAGGTAGGAATGAGTTTGGTGAAATAAGAAATAGCAAGGTCAGTGTGGCTAGACCAGAGTGTAGGAGATAGAAGTGGGGTAGATGATGTCAGTGATGTGTTTATCTTTCTGGAGGCAAGTTAGTGTTTTAGACTTCTAGCCCTACTGCTCTATCTCTAACCCTAACAAAAGGATCCTCATACTATTTCCTTCGGGATCCAAATGCAGCTAGTTGTCATAATGGGGAGTAATCTCATGACTGATACAAAAGGGTTAATGCTGGATTCCTAGAGATTTTTCTTTTGAGTAGGTTACTCCTAGAGATAAAAATACTTCAGTCGTGGATATCTGTCTTGTGGGATGTGGACCCAGAATGTGATTGGAAGGGGTCTGTGAATGCATATGTATACCATGCCACTGTCTGTAGATCAAATAAATAAATGCACAGCTTCTAACATGGGGAAGCAATCAGAATTTTTTTTAATATGTTGAAAAGTGGTTCTCATTCTTAAAAATGTTGTAAACCATTTGATGAAACCAGTGGAATCCTATTCTAGAAACATTACAGAGCCCTTTCCCATGGCTCCTGCGACCTTGCCCAGTGTTGCCCACTTTAGCTGCATGGGTGGGACCTGGCATGGTGATGTTTTGGGGTGTGTGTTGAAGTGGCAACTTTTTGGTACTGTAAATACAGCTTATAGGTAATTTTCATATGTGTAAAGACAGACTTTGATGGACATATGCTGAGTCAATTTTTTATTATCTCTGTAAATTGTTTTTGATAACATTTTTATCCTCAGGTGACTTTTCTCTTTGATATCTGGTATATTTCTTGGTAGCTTATTACTTTTATGTATTTTCAGGTAATAATTTTAAAATATCATTGCTTTTTATTATCTCAATATAAAAAAAGTAACTGTGCTGTCAAAAAAGCCAACATATTGTGTTTTTTATGTAACTATATATTTGAGAGAATATCTGATTGATTATTGCTATTTATGTTCTTCCTTGCCAGTAAAGAAATAGAGATTTGGCCTTCAAGAACATAACAGGATTTTATTAATTCATTAATTTGAAAAGAGCTTATTTCCTTTTCTAGGAAAAGGGCATTGAAGTGATGTTTTCTCCCCACCCTTGCCCTACTTGGACACTGGATTGGGATGTTCTTCCTGCAGCAGTGAGTCCAAAGGAAGGTAAGTTTTGGGGTTTTTTTCCTTCAAGTTTTCAGATTTACTCACATCTTTAAGTTTTACTAACAAGCTGGATACTCTCTTCAGATCTATCTTTCAATTCTCTAATTCTTTGGCTATATTTAATATTCTTTCTTTTTTTTAAAAAAGATGACCGGTAAGGGGATCTCAACCCTTAGCTTGGTGTTGTCAGCACCACGCTCAGCCAGTGAGCAAACCGGCCATCCCTATATGGGATCCGAACCCGTGGCCTTGGTGTTATCAGCACCGCACTCTACCGAGTGAGCCACGGGCCGGCCCTATATTTAATATTCTGATTGCACTATTCATTGAGTTTTTGTTTTTATTATGAAAAATTTCATACATACATATCACTCAGATTTAATATTTCCCACATTTTCCTACATGTGCTTCATTTTTTTTTTTGGCTGATGTATCTTGAAATAAATCCCGGGTAACATGTACTTCAGTACACACATCTAAAAAATACTGACATCTTAAATATCACAATGCTATTATCACACCTAATAAAAATTATTAAAAACTTTTTATTCATCTAGTACCTAGTCTATAATCTGTTTTCCCAACTACTTAAAATATTATTTGAAAAAATACCTTTTTATTATTAGGCATTTATTTATCTATCTATCTATCTATCTATCTATCTATCTATCTATCTATCTATCTATCTATCTATCTATCTATCTATCTATCTATTTATTTATTGGGGAGCTGGCTTGTACAGGGATCTGAACTTTTGACCTTTGTGTTACAACACCAGGCTCTAACCAAATGAGATAACAGGTTTATATTTTTCATTGTTAGATTATATTTGGTTTGTTGGTTTTAGATAATAACCATTTCCTTGCTCATGTTTCAGTTTTCTCTTTTTTATAATTTTTTAAACATAGTTATTTTATATTTTGTATTATTTCTAACAGTGGTTGTTTATAGACATCTAACTTTGCTGTGTGTATTTTCTGTTGACTTCACTTCTGGTGTCTTATTTCCCAGTGAGTGTTGTAATTTTAGATCGTGAACGCATTTTTGGGTTTCCCCTGTAGAAATCTTGTGGGGCTTGCGGTAAGAGTAAATTTTCACTTAAAGGGTTTATATGTGCTTATGCCAGACATCTCAAGGTATTAGAACTTAAGACCACTTAACATTAGTTTTTCAGCTTCAGATTCTTTCAACCTTTTCTATCTGGAGCTGAGATTTAAACAGATAAGTTACCATTTGTGATCTTCCTTTGCTGTTTGGTAGAACTTTTTTAATGTGTCTTTTCAGAGGGAATATAGCTTTTCAAGGTTCCTGCTTTCATGGAGTGATATTAGTTCCAGCTCTCCATCGTGTGAGGGATCAAGGATTAGCTTATCTTCTTTGTTCTGCTGTTAAAATATAGTTCCCTATTATTAGCAAATATCCTCAGGGAAGCCACAGTGTCAATTCAAGATTATTACACCAATTTTCAGGCCCCTTTCTACCACTTATCTACCCCCCTCACTTTTTAAGCCCCTCTGGATTTTTCTTATTCTCAGAAACCCAGTTAGAAGTGTAATTTAAAAATTATTTAAAACTATTTTAGGTGGCTTTTAGGTGTAGAACTTTTTAGAATAGCTCAATGTTCTGTTTTCTCAATTATTCACCTGTCCTTCAGTTTTATATTTAGCCAAATATAACTTTTCATTTTTCAAATACACTTTGGAATACTTTGCCTTTTTCATATTCTTCTCTTCTGTGATGCTACCTAAAATTGCCTGTATCTTATGGATCAATTATATTCTTTTTTTTTTCTTCTTAATTTTATTTTGTCGATATACAATGTGGTTGATTATTGTGGCCCATTACTGAAACCTCCCTCCCTCCTCCCTCTCCCCCCTCCCTCCCAACAATGTCCTTTCTGTTTGCTTGTCGTATCAACTTCAAGGAATTGTAGTTGTTATGTCTTCTTCCAAACCCCCCCCCCCGGTT